TTTTTGTTTAAAAAAGCCCGGCTCCCCAGAAATTCTTTTTTTTTATTTTTTCGGATTCAAAAATATAAACGCAGCGTTAAAAATGGGGTTTTAACATTTCATTAATATTCCCTGCGCCAAACTCTAATTTGGCCTACTGTACAAGTCCCCCCTTCTTTTTCAATTGTCCCTAACCCCCTTCCCCTTCATAGGAGGGGAGTGGAACCTCAAACTTCAAGGACATTCCCTGTAAATACACAAAGAGAGCAATTCCTTAGTTACCCAGATGTTGAGAACACTGACCCCTTGCAACTGTGAGGGGAGCTATAACTAAGTCTGGTGTTCAAAATGAAATAATCAGTGTGTCAAGAATTATCTAAATAAAAATGTCTGACATTCTGGTGCAGAAATTAATGAGTTTATCTTTTTAAACCTGCTTATATCCAGGAGCTTCCGGGGGCTTCAACACCCTGTCCCACTGTGGGGCACTGTCCCTGGATCTTGCCAAGGGCCTGCAGCCCCCAGGACCACCAGCTATTTTGGGGGGGAACCTATATTGCTCCCCCCATTTCAAAATACCTTTCTTCACATATGCCCTTATTACTACCCTTTATCTTTATTGTCCTTCTCCCCACAGTACTACCTCACCCCACACCACCCCATCTTCCTCCCATCCTCATCCTTCTACTGCTTCCACCTCTACAAACCTTTTGAGTACTCTCTATGGTCCAGCTAAGTGGGATCAATTCTTTGTGATTCCCCCTACAGCCCCATACTCTGATAATACCTTTCTCTTCCAACAATGTCTCCAAAAACAAGTAGGCACAGTTTTCTTTCACAGTCGTTCCATTCGTTCATGCTTTACCATAGTTCCACATATGTCCCAATCTCATGCACTATCTACTGATGTCCTTGCCTGCCTTGTTGACTTTAATATGGTAGCACTAGAGTGCTACACTATTCTTCCCAATCCTCCCAGTGTAGGTCCTACACCAATATATCAAGATACACATGTCTTCCCCCACAAAGTTTATGTTGGTTGAGTGTCCTACCCTGTCCTGCCATATTGACCCTTCTTTGTCAATGTCAGAAATGTTGGTGTGTTGGACACCCAGCTAAACACTGTCACTCCACAGCCCACAGCCCTCTATGTGCCAACCTGGTCATGACCATACAAATGGCTTTACTCAGCCACGTACATGTACCAATTGTGGTGGCTTCCATAATTATTTTATGAGGTAGTAGTTCTCAGATTCAAACAAGGCCTCACTTTATGTAAGGCCAGAGAAGAAGAAAGGCAACAAGGTTTTTTTTTTCTCCACGTCAAGTTTGCCCTACCCCTCTTCCTCCCACTTTCTACCAACACACCCCACCTTTCCTTCTCCATGTGTGTTATTCCCTCTACATTCCCCATTATCCTTACCAACGGTGTCCTTCTCCAGATCCATCCCCTCCTGACATTCTCCCTATTACTTCACCACCTCCCCCAGTCCCGATATCTCATTCCACGGATTCTACTCCTGCTACTTCTCCACAGCCATTTCTACCCATATTACCCATTGATTATTTCATGATTGCTCTTTTGCCAGTTTTCCTTAAACAATGTTCATATTCCATCCCCAGCCACAGATACACTCCATTTCATCCAGTCGCCCTAAACCTTTAACCCTTTCCTCTTTTACAAGTTTCCAGTTTACTTCATATGCTCCTCCTCTTTACCCCTTCAACAATCATACTATCTTATAACACTCTATAACCTTTGACATCTAACACATTTTATCCTAAACGTTAATCATTTTTACCCCTTTTCACCACAATACTTACCATAGTGCTATGTGACCTTTGACGTCTTGTACATTTATTCGTTTTAACCGTTAACCATTAACCATCTGTATATTTTCTTTAACTGTTCAATATATCAAGTTGACTCCATCCTATTCCTGCCTTTCATTCCTTTCCAGAGTCTGTACTTGGATTGCATTCGTCTTATGCCCAGCCTATTGAAGGAGATTGTGAACCTCATGGCAGAGAAAGGCATAAGAGTTCGATTACCCTTAGAGGAACTGCAGGTTCTTTTGGAGACAGAGCTGGACCTCGAAAATGATGATGAAGAGTTATCGCCAAAGGAAGATGAAGAGCAAATATAAAAATATATTTTCATAATGAATGGATGTGTATTGAATGAGATAAATAGACTCATGGTTTGGACAACATACACATGTGTTGGAGGTTTGCATGATATATTTCATTGAAAAGAAACTTACATTCAGTTCAGTAACCCTTTTTTGTTTTTTACTGTTCCTAAAATCATGGAAGAAATCAGACTCAATGGTTTTTATGACAACAAATCATACAAAGCTACTTATATTACATTTGGAGCAAACTTTGTATTTATGGCAAGTTGGATACAGGTTCAGTATGAGTAAGAGGGATTGTTTGTTTTTTCTGTCTTTATTCCTTAGAAATGAAACACAAAAACCATGAGTTGAATTTACCTGATGAATTTTCATTTATTGGTTCAGTTTTACTCATTTTTGTATTTCATATTCATGTAAGGGATTTTTTCATACTTGCAACAAGATACAAATCTTCTCCATTTCAGCTTTCTTTTTTCTATATATATATATATATATATATATATATATATATATATATATATATATATATATATATATATATATATATATATACTTCAAGTGTTGGAACAAAATCCAAAGCTGTCACTGTGATCATTATGGGAGAAACCATGTTATTGGTAGGCAAGTTAGATTTTTTTCTTTCTTTTTGTATTTATTTCTTTTATGTCTGTAGACGAACTGCAGGTTCTTTTGATTCGGACAATAATAATGTATTTAAAGTTAAAGAAATATGAAGAATGTAAAGTATGTTTTGATCATTAGTGACTGAGTAGCAAGTGAAATAAGTGAATAATATGAACTGACTGAACATCTGTTTAAGTTTTGTATATAGATTTTCATTTGTAAAAAAGTTATTAAGATTTTTAATATTTATTTTTCTTGGAAATAAAAACAGGAAATTTATTTGGTTTTGTTTCTTTCCCCTTTATGAATAGAAATTATGAAATTGTTGAAAGAATTCCTCATGGTTTAAACTTATATGATGAACCTTTTCAACCATTTTTGTATCATATATATAATTGTTTATGTATATGCATATAGATATATGTATATATATATAGATAGATAGATAGATAGATATAGATATAGATATATATATAGATAGATAGATAGATAGATATAGATATAGATATAGATATATAAAGTGAGGTGGACTGTGGGCCCTGCTGGGAGGGCGACTGCTGGAGCGCAGGCTGGGAACGGGAACTACTCGTCTCGCCTGCGCTCTGGTGGCCGCCAGCCCAGAGTGAAGCATGTGTGGGAAAGCCCTCGGGAACCCCACAGGTGGATGATGGGGCACGCAGCCCGCCACCCCCTTTTATATGGGGCAGCGTCGGTGGGGGTGGCAGAGGTGGCATCCACCCGGAGCGACTGCCAGAGGTTGAACCTCAAGCGGGAAGCCTTTTCCGGGACTTTGCTAGGTCCAAGAAATTGAGGATTTCTGGCTCCTGGTACCAGCGCCCAGACCCACATCGCTGGACATGGTACAGTGATGCGGGTAATGCAGCCAAGGAGATCAACCACATACTCGTTAGCACTCGCTGGAGGATCCTTCAGAATTGCAGGGTGTACAGGAGTGCTGAGTTCTGTGGTACTGACCATAGATTGGTTGTGGCTACCCTCCAGGTCCACTTCAAAACTCCCCAGCGGTCAAATGATCACCCTAGGGTGTTTCATTTGGAAAGGCTGAGGGAGGGGGAGTGTGCCCGCGGGTTTGCTGACGCAATCTCTGATCGTTTCACAATGCTTGGCAGTCTGACAGACCCTGTTCTGTGAGATACCTTTAAGCGTGAAACGCTTGATGCAGCTCAAGATACGATTGGTGTACACCCGAGAGCAGTACAGAATTCCATCTCGCAGGAGACACTGGAAGCCACAGATGCATGTCGTGCGGCTCGTCTGACAGGGGATCGGGAATTGCACCATTCACATGTGCGCAGAACTCGGTCTGTTAAGAAGGGACAAGGAACAGTTTATTAGGAGTCTTGCAGAGGAGGTAGAAGGCCATTTCTTAGTAAATGACCTTCGTCCTGCATACCAAGCCCTGAGAAAGCTGAACTCCAAGCCCTCTTCACAGGTGACAGCATCAGTAAGTGGTCAGATGTTTCAGATCGTGTTGCGGTGAGGGAACGTTGGGCTGAGTATTTTGAGCAGCTGTACCAGGTTGACCCACCAACAGTTAACTTGGATGCGGGTAGTGTCGAGATCCGCTGCCGGATCCACCTATCAGTGAGGACCCTCCCTCCCTAACTGAAGTTAGGGGGGCGATTTCCAAGCTGAAGAGTGGTAAAGCAGCGGGTATCTGCGGCATACCAGCTGAACTGTTAAAGGCTGGTGGTGAACCTATGGCACGGGGTTACATGCTGTCCTGGCTGCCATCTGGCGGCCCGGTTCCGTTCCTCCTGACCTGTTGAGGGGTGTGGTCATCCCTCTCTGGAAGGGGAAGGGGGACCGTTGGGACTGCAGCAACCACCGAGGCATCACACTGCTCAGTATACCAGGCAAGGTTCTCGCCCACATCCTTCTGAGACGTATCAGAGACCATCTACTGAGGCACCAGAGACTGGAGCAATCCGGATTCACTCCTGGTAAGTCCACAGTAGACCGTATCCTCGCGCTTCAAGTCATTGTAGAGCGCGTGCGTGAGTTCGGGCGTGGGCTGCTTGCAGCCTACATTGACCTCAAGAAGGCGTTCGATACGGTGCATCGGGAGTCACTTTGGGAGATTCTGAGGCTGAGAGGAATTCCAACAAGGATTATTGGACTAATAGCAAGCCTGTATACTGGTACTGAAAGTGCTGTAAAGTGTGGTGGGGGCCTGTCGAGCTTTTTCCTGTTAGTTCAGGAGTGAGTCAAGGCTGTGTCCTTGCACCAACTCTTTTCAACACTTGCATGGACTGGATACTGGGCAGAGCTACTGTTCAAAGTCATTGAGGAGCAACGCTGGGCAATATCAAGGTTACAGACCTTGACTTTGCTGATGATGTTGCCATTCTATCTGAGTCTTTGGAAACCCTAGTGGCGGCTCTCGATGCATTTAGCAATGAAGCGAAGCCCTTGGGTCTAGAGGTCTCCTGGACCAAGACCAAGGTCCAGGAATTTGGGGACTTGTTAGGAGAACCTGTTCAGTCGGTACGTGCTTGCGGCGAGGACATTGAAGTCACAGAGAGCTTTACATACCTTGGTAGTGTAGTTCATAACTCTGGGCTGTCAGACCATGAAGTCAGCAGACAGATTGGCCTGGCAGCAGGGGTCACGAACTCTCTCAACAAGAGTATTTGGAGATGTCGGTACCTGTGCAGAAGGACCAAGCTACGGGTTTTCAAGGCCCTGATAATACCAGTTTTGCTATACGGTAGCGAAACCTGGACATTGTCCTGTGCCTTGGAGGCTCGTCTTGAAGCCTTTTGTAATAGGTCCTTGCACCAGATCATGGGGTACTGTTGGGGGACCATGTGTCCAACCAACGGTTGCACCGTGAGACTGGCACAGGACCTGTTATCTGCACAATCCGTGATCGCCAACTCAGGCTATACGGCCACCTGGCTCGCTTTCCTCAGGATGATCCTGCCCATCAGGTCGTCTCTGTTCGAGACAACCCTGGTGGAGGAGGCCTGTGGGACGAACCGAGGAAGTCGTGCTTGGGCAGATCGACCAAACCTGCCGTGAAGAAATAGAGATGGGCCGAGTCCCTGCCTGGCGTCTAGCCATGAGGGATCCTCGTAGGTGGAAGCGAAGGGTGGATGCGGCTATGCGCCCCCATCGGCGTCAGCCCCTTGATGATGATGATGATGATGATATATGTATATATATATATATATATATATATATATATATATATATTATATATATATATATATATATATATAAATATATATATAAATATAAATATATATATATATATATATATATATATATATATATATATATATATATATATATATATATATATATGTATATGTATATATATATATATATATAAATATATATATATATATAAATTATATAAATATACATATATATATATATATATATATATATATAATATATATATATATATATATATATATATATATATATATATATATATATATATATATATAATATATATATATATATATATATAATATATATATATATATATATATATATATATATATATATATATATTATATATATATATATATATATATATATTATATATATATATATATATATATATATATATATATATATATATATATATATATATATATATATATATATATATATATATATATATATATATATAAGTCAATCTGATGCTGAATCTAACAATCCACAATAATTCAACAAATAATTTTCATCTAACCCATAAACATTTTTACTCAGACTGATTTTTATTGTATCAGCCCTGTAAGTATACTTATTAATTAATGAAGCATAAAATTTAGGGCTATTGAAAAAAATGGGAATATACAATCACTTTATTGTCTTAAATACACAGATCCTAGCTCATTCTGGAAGACACTGCATAATCAGGCAATGCACTTACCATCATTTTACCCACATACAATATTTTCCTGAAGTATCAAAATACAATTAAAAAAAATAAAAATGCTCAAATAATCTCAAAATTTGAAAATATCTTTATCTTGCACCTGGGCATCTTTGGCAGCATTTACCATGTCCTTGTCAAATGACCTGGTCCCACACACTAGAACTAGAGTAGAATCTAATGGGGCTTGAAGCAATTCATTTTTTACATCATCTTTAGTCAACTTCCTTGTTAACATGGTTTCATTGTATTTCTTCATTCCAAAATCATCCACATCACTTAGGTAATGAGTCATAGTAAAGTTCCAAAATTGGCATAATGTTAAAAGTTCTTCCCTCAAAAGAATATTTGAAATGCTCTTAGATGAATATAACAATTTAATAAAGGTTTCATCTTGATCATTATCCACAATTGCTTTTATAATTTGGTACATAGGTGCAATCCCTGTCCCAGCTGCTAGCATGAGAATCCTTTTGTAACTATTTGTCTTGTATGAAAAATTACCAAATGGACCCCTCCAAGGAATGTTATCTCCCACTTTCCAATCTTTAATTAATTGAGTAATCTTGCCATTAGGATAGATTTTTATTAGCACATCAAATGATCCTTTTTCAGAAATATCTGATATTGGGGTATATTGCCTAATCACTGTCCTACCATTCTTTATCTGCTTAACAATTAAATGCTGGCCAATGCTAAGCCCTAAATTTTTACCCTCTGGTAGCTTGAATGTATAACAAATGCAGTCAGAATAAATTTCTTTTATTTTTACGATCTCAAATTCTTTCCATTTATCTGGTTGGAGTGCCCCTTCCACAGGTGCTTCATCTAGCCCTCCTTCGCGAATACGCTTGCATTGTTTCTTCCATCTCCTTAGATCTTCCTCATAAATATCATGCACACATGGGCAACAGCCACTGCCACAACAGTCCCTAGGCTGAGGAGCTTGAGGTTTAGGAGGCAACAAATCCTCAATATCAGCAATTCGGTTAGTCATCTTTACAGTGCAAAGTTAGAAGTAATATGACTATTATAGTTCACTTTTTTACCTGTAAGTTAATCACTTAATAGCGTAAAGAAGGTTTATTTTAATTACCAAATACATAAGCACATTCTCCTAATAATTTAAATGTTAGCAAGACAGTGAAATAAAAAGAAGTATGCTTTTGCAGAGCTTGTTATTCATCATTATGAGGAGTCCAGACACAAGTATGCTCAAAACCAGTGCTGGACACCACAGACCATCCCTTTTTCTCAAGAAGATTTAGGACACATCGAGGAGCCAGGTCTGTGGTATAGGTGACTCTGTGTACAAATATTAAATTCTGTAAATATTTTAATTCTTATCTATGTATGGTTTGACCTAGCAATTACTATTCACTCTTGACTATAACAATTGAAAACAAAGTTAAATATTTCAGACGCTGAAAACTTAAAAAAGCCTCTAATATTTCCTTAAAACTGTATCAACATTTTCTTAAAACTGCATTAAAACTACTCTACCAATTCTGTCACCCAAAAAATTGGGGAAAAGGATCCACAAGTTAATGGATTCAAACAATACCCTCAACAACAGTAAAATATCAGAAATGGTTAATAATGGCAAATATATTCCAAATTAAAACTACATATAACCCTACACATGAGTGTGGTGCACATAAATAGACTTATACTATAAGCCACATTAAAACTGACTAGACCTCTTACCTACTTCTGTTTTAGTACTTACATCTTTGTAAGCCGATCTTCTCTTCTTTTTGCATTAAGGAAAGACATCAAATCTGGATCAATATCACCATCCCCAACTACAGTTGGACCACAGTCCTGAAAAAAAAAAAATATATATATATATATATATATATATATATATATATCTTAAAGATACCAGGTATTTTTTCTTACCTAACAAGCAAGCAATCCTTTTATTGCCATATTTCAAAGCCCATATAAAGTGTATCCATCAATGAACTCAAATTCTTTAACCTCTGATGGATGGGAAAAATAAAAATTACATGAGAGTACAGTACAGAAAAAGAAAAACCTCAACCTCAATCATAGTAGGTTTACTATGATTGATGTTAGTTTTATATTTGGTTTGTTTAGCTTAATTTATGATGGGTTAGGTCAGTTTTAGTCTAGTCTGGTTTTATTTCAATTTGCTAACTTTACATCTTAGATTAAATTAGTTTTAAATTTGCTATGGTCTGGGATTGGGATTGGCCTTGGGCTTGAGCTGATTTCTTACATCAAGTTTGGTTTAAACCAGTTTGTTTTTTAACCTCAAATCCTACATTTGGTTAGATTTGGACTTTATCTGAATTTGGTTTGAGTTTGATATTTCTAAAAAGTAGACAAAATAAAAATAAAGATGCAACAGCTAAATTTATTTCAAAATCTTTATTGTTAAAATATAGGTATGACACATGTCAGAAATGCAAATTAAACATGTTACAGTGCTAGAGTTCTGACATAGTATATCTGCTAATGCGTTAAGTTTAAAGTGAAGAGCTGATACACACAAATATAAAGCCATACCAAGGGATGAAACATAAATATATACAACTAAATGAAAAATATCAAGGTTGGATAAAGAAACAGGCAGCTATTTAAAAAAGGAAGACTAAACAAAAGACATAGACAAATGAGAAAATTAATTTTATGCAGAAAAATTAACTATGTAAATCTGGTAGAAAAGTAGATACAGAAGACATAATTGAAAATACCACATGTGTAATACTGGCAACTCTCAACTATTACCACTGAGAAAACAAAACCATAAAGATAGCAGATAGATTTCTAATAGTAACATATATTACATGCACATTTTCCCCATCCTACCCTATATAAAAGGATATTTCTCTCCTCTTCCCAGATCAAAAGACATCTCTTACTAATTCTTGGGATGATGCCTATTAGCAGACATAAAAGAACACTACGGCCTCGAGAAAAAAATATACAGGTAGTAAAAGTAAGCCCTCATTACAAAAATATACTACAGACTCAAACAACTGCTGTGACCTTCGTAGCTTCAGCACCCTGGCAAATGGACAACCCTCTATTGTGTTTATAATCAGAAAATAGAGCTTGGAGATTAACTGTCACAAAATGAACCATTTCCAGCTCCTATCTTTCTGGGGGTATAGAGTTTTAGGCCTTAGCCAATGGACCAAAGGCACGGAGGTCATTGAGATGCACTCCTTAGTTCAAGAATTGCCCACCTCTACCTCCCTACCCCAAATCACAGGTCATCTCTCCCTCCTTCTCAATCAACCCAGGGCACTACTACCTCCCAGCTCCACCCCAACCTTCTTGACCAGTATTATAGGACATTTCCTCCTCCCTATCCATCACAGCAGGATACCTCTCCCTCGCTCATACCACATAACAGCTCTCCTTTCCTACCGTATGTCACAGGACATCTTTCCCTTCCTGACCCATACCACTTACCAATCTCAAACTCTTTGACACGAGCATGTACGGCATTGTAGCTGCTTGTCACCTGGTCTTTCTACAGGTAACCTCCCTTGAGCAGACCTATTCGACCTGCCTAGTGACAAGGTGCAGGATACTACCAGAAGTATGCAAACTGATTGGCTACATTCCAGGCTACCTGCGCAGCTCAGGCTGACCTTGGCTTCCAGTTTCTTAAATGACGGATGGGGGAGTTAAAGCCAAAGATGAGAAATTACCTCGTGTTTCGTGTTCCGTCCTTCCCTGTACTACTCTTGTTATGTTTGTTTATGTACAGCGGGTTCGTGTTCGGAACTTGTTTTTCATTCATGTTTTTTGTTACATCTAAGTTTTTCGTTTATTCAGAATATTTAATGGATCTGTTTCAGATGAAATAATAATATGCAGAGGACACTTATTACATCATCAACAAATCTTTACGAGCATACTTTTAAATGATCTGAGAGGCCAACGACCGCCATTTCAAATTTGTGAAATATTACTTCCAGTTACATTTTTTAAAACATTTTGTTTACTACTACTTTATTTCGTTTAAAAGAGAGAGAGAGAGAGAGAGAGAGAGAGAGAGAGAGAGAGAGAGAGAGAGAGAGAGAGAGAGAGAGAGAGAGAGAGAGAGAGAGAGAGAGAGAGAGAGAGAGAGAGAGAGAGAGAGAGAGAGAGAGAGAGAGAGAGAGAGAGAGAGAGAGACAGAGACTTTGACTGACTTTGACTTTGACACGTTTATGGAGACAAAAGTAAGATTACATCTCATAAGGATGAGGTAACTTAGGTTATCCTCACCCTTACTTAATAAGTCCCTGTGCGGGCTCACAATTCATTATACAAAGCTTTGGTACAATAATATTTAAAATTAAATACAGCACTTAAATTATAAAGAATTACAAGCATTACAAGAATTCAGAGTCATTGGCTTACATATCGGTAAGGTGATATATCACTCCCACCCTCATCCAGATAAGTCCTCTCCTGGGCTTACATAATCAAATACAGCGCACAAAAAAATATGCGCACGCAATATATAATTATAATCCCGGAGAAGAGATGAATCAATTTTTGAGTGGAATGATTGTATTTCAGGAGAATGATGCCTAACATACGCCATTCATCAACAGTAAAGTAGGAGACATTATAGTAGCAGAAGTAACAGCCTACATACCTATGCATATTTGCGAGGTATGTTTATGATATTGGTGCAAATTGCCTGTACCTCTTCAAAATCTCGAATACCTGACCGTTCCTAATCATCCATACAGCCTGTTTAGGTAAACCTGTTATCTCTGCATTTCTATGTGTCTGAAGCATAGAACACTGTAATATATAATGCGTCAATGTATGTGATCTAGGTAAACTACACACCCTGCATTCTTTTTCTTTCTCGCTTGCTGGAGCGCCTAACTCCCAATAGTATTTATATCCAAGCCTGATTCTCATGTACACACTGTCTTTCCATTTGCTCTTGCCCTTCCCATAAGCAAAGTCTGTGTTCGTCGCAAGATGCATATAGTGTCTCAGAGTATCACTTTTCCTAATCGCTTCGCCCTCGTCATAGTCTGTGTCCTCTTGATATTGCTCTTTGCCTGTTTAAGTCCGCATGCAGTGAATGTCTACCTCGTGCTTCCTGGTCGCCCCCTTGGCGATCTTATCAACAGCTTCATTGAAGGTGACACCTACATGCGAAGGGATCCACACAAATGCAATCACACGCCCCTGACCTCGCAACCTATGAGCTATCAAACGACACTCGCCAACTATGTGGTCAAACACAGGGTTCTTGCTGTTAAGTGAGTCCAGTGCTCCCCTGCTGTCCACAAAGAAGTAGGAATCCTTATTAATGATTTCAATCTCTTTAAGCGCCGTCAGTATTGCCCATAGTCCAGCTTGTGTTGAAAATATGTGATTGCTCAGTCTCATCCCAGTGCTTGTGGTGACCACTCCGCTCCCAGTGAACTGTCTGATGATGACTCCGCACCCAGCTCTGCCATCTTCTAGGACTGACCCGTCACAGTAAACATGAGCAATGTCAAGTCGTGTTAAACTATTTATTTTATGGCTGTACGTTGCTTTAAGTTGACCTGTTCATACATGGATTTATCCATAGAGAGAGGGTCTACATCTATGTTAATATCCTGATCCTCCCATGGCGGCACCTTAGGAGGTGCCTGATGAGAATGACAATAATCCTTCAGGTCATAATATTGAATGCTATTTCTCAGTTCCTTCATATATCCTCGCTTGCCTTGCCTATAAAATGATCTCATGTTAAAAACCGCTGGCCATATCTCTCACTAATTTCTTTCCACTGGTCCCTCTCATTAACCTGATGGCCGCTATTGCATTGATCTCTCTCACTCTCTGTACAATGCTTTGCAATCCCGTCTCTGCTCTCATTATATCTATCCTGGCATTCATTTGACACCCGAGGATTATTCTCATAGCTTCATTTTTTATGGTTTCAAGTTTCCGGAGTCTCCCTTGACAGGCTGTGGAAAGTGCTGGTGCTGCATAATCCACCAAGGCTCTTATCGTACTCATGTAGATTAGCCTCAGCAAGGGCACCCCAGCCCCTGCACCGCGACAAGCAAGTGCTCTGAGCGGCCGTAGTCGCGCCCTACACTGAGTCAATATATGATTCACCTCAGCATCTTTACTTGACGCAGTAAAGCCAATGTATACTCCCAGATATTTATATGTCAATACTTTCTCACGTTGCCCCTTTGTTTGCTTTGAAATTTTGTCTTTTCTTCATTGATAACCAGCCCTAATGTTTGAGCAAGTTTACTAAAGTTGTTCAGCGCTGTGTAGTCCCTTGTATCAATATATCATCTGCGTATATAATTGGCTGGACGCCCTGAGGATAGCTCTCTGAGGCTATTCTGTTCATCAGTACATTAAAAAGTGTTGGCTTAAAACGCCTCCCTGTGGTGTTCCCAGCTCAAGATTTTTTTCCTCTGACAAACAGCCTTGAAACCACACACAAGCTCTTCTCTCAGACAAATAGTCACCGATCCACTTAAGCAACGTTCCCGTGACCCCTAACATTGCCAACTCATACATAATCACTTCTCCGTTGGCTTTATCAAAGGCTCCCTGTAAATCAACAAATACTCTACACTTTTCTGCATCGTTGGATAAACACTGAATTAGGCAATCAGATGTTCCCTTCCCTTTCATAAACCCGTACAGATTACAAGAGAGTTTATCTCCAATCACATACATTAGTCTGTTTAATAATATTCGTTCCATCATCTTGCATAAGCAGGATGTCAGAGATACAGGCCTGTATCCACCTGACGATTTAGGAATGGGTATTATTAAGGCTTTTTTCCAGGCCTTCGGCAATTTACCTTCCAAATAACTCATGTTAAAAAGATCTAATAAAGGGCTGTTCTCCATGCTTACTAATGCATTTAGAATGTCATATGTAACGCCATCTTCTCCTGGCGATGTACTTTTCCCCCTTTTGATTGCATTTAAGAGTTCATGTATAGTTATGGTCTGACAAGATACTGCAGTAATATTTAAGGATGACTGTATTTGTTCTTTTCGTTCAATTTCCCATGCGTTTAAAGCATCGCGAGTGTGTTGTGGCAATGAGACCAGTGAAGATGCCTTCGCCCATTTCTGAATATGTTTGCCTCCTCCTCTGGGTGTGGGTGACCGATGAGGTTATTTGTTTTGCCCCTCACCTTATTGACGTGATGCCATATTTCTTTAAGGTTTTTGCATTCCTCGATGTTTTGCGCAAATTCTTTCCAGTATTTCTCCCTTACTTCTTTCCGTTTTTCCCCACACATTCTTGATATATCAAGGAGTATATCTTTGTCCTGTTCCTTTTTGCCTTTTAGTACCCACTCCCTGTGTGCCAACCTTAGCATGTATGTCCATTCCTTAAGTGTCTTATCACTGCAGTACCTGTTTTTCCTTTACCCATGACCCTTTTCCTTTCTGTGTGTCTTGGGTGTTGTGGGTAAACATCTTTCTATCGCATTCAACAAATTCCGGTTGAACCTATCTAAACATATGGGTGTATAGTGTTTATACCAATTCTCTATGTTGTAAACAAACTGGTCTCTGTCGTTTACATTAAGTGAAAGCCGTTTTCTCTGAAATTTAACTTGTATTTTCCCTACAGCTAACTTAACATACAACGCGAAATGATCACTGAGTAGTTCACTTACCACTTTACATTCTCCTTGAATCGCCTGTCTGCCAAGCAGGCAGGCGTAATTAAGCCGTCCACCCTTGATGTGTGTTGCCTCTTTGCCACCCAGCAAGCATGCATCAGGCCTATCCTTTAAAAACAGGTAAAACCTCTTACCGTTATCATTGATATTGCCCCTCTCCTCTAATTGCGGGTGTCTAGCATTCAAGTCACCCACTATCAGAGCAGAGCCAGAGTACATGCAGTCAGGTAAATATCTGAGGTCAAAGGATCTCCCAGAGATGTATAAGTTGACAATATACATTTCACTTTGTTGCAAATGAAGCTTCACACACACTTTCTATGCCGTTAGTTCTGCACGGCGTCTCTGTTAGTTCAGAGGGTATAGAGCTTTTGACATAAGTTGACACTCCCCGTATTCGGTCACCGGCATGAAGGTGGTACGCTCTATAACCATTAAGTTTGAGAGTATCACCTTTCGTGTCCCTGGTTTCCTGGAGACAAACTACGTCAATATTGTTTTTCAGTACAAAGTAGTGTAACTCTGGTAAGCAAACTACTTACATTCCACGATAATATTCTAATACTACGCTCCATCAGGTTTTGATTGTGTCCTTATGCTTTTCTACTACTTTTTGAATAGTTCCCCATAGCTCTTGCATAATTTCCCATTTTTTCAGGAGGTTTTCTTTCTCCGGATCCTTACATTTTAGGAGGACTGACCGGAAGACCTCAGAGGATGTTCCTTCCACTATGCTTGATTTTATTGTCCTTTCTTTACCCTTAATGGTAATTTTTCTTTCTAATTTTTTTCCCTTGCAAGTCCACTAATATTTTCACAAGGCCTTCCTCTGCCTTCCTTTAGCAGCGGCTCAAAACCACGGTGGTCCCGGCCCAGCTGCATGGCCCATCTTAATTTCTCCATGAAGTTCATGGCACAGTTCTGCGGGAATAGCAGCCTCTTCCTGCCGTTCACACCTTCATTCTGACTTCCTTCCTTGCTTTCATATTTCTTTTTCCTCTTTTCTTCCTGTTCGCACCTATTCTCAGTATCATCCATCTCAATTGCGCTTTCGTCGTTCCTTTCCCTCTTATGGGAACCACTTTCCATATTCCCTTTCACTCGTGCACATTCATTTTCAGTTTCCATGTC